TGGTGTCATGGAGGCTTTGAAAGTCATTCTAGACAGTAGCCTTCCTTCTGTAATAAAAAAGATGCTGTCAACTGGTGATGTGACCAGTTTCAGAGTGATTGCTGTGCCTGCGGTGTGGAGATTAGAAACAGGAAAAGTCTTAAATCAGAGAGAGAAGGAGGAGGAAGAACTGGGAGATGGTTCAATAGTGTTGGCAGAGGATGAAGATCCAGGCTAAAGATAGGACAAAGAGAGGAGGCAGCATGTGGAGAAACGTCCAGGAGATGAACCCTCAGCATGCAGTGACTGATCAAATGAGGGGATGACGAGGCAGTAACGAGGCAGCTGAGCTGTGTGCTGCTGTTTTTCTGTGTATGGTGGGGAAGTGTGAAGAGTGGAAAGACCACCTCTTTTCTATTCAGGTCTTTTGGAGAATGGAAGTTATTGTTGAATCTACAGGACAACAGAAGTCTTTGGAGGGGGGCGGTGAGATGGCTCAGAGCTGAGATTGCTTTCACCTAAGCCCAATAACCTGAGTTTTTTCCCTGGGTCCTACATGGTAGGAGAGGAGTGACTCCATCAAGTGATCTTCTGACCTCCACATGAAGGCATGTGTGCAACAAACAAACATACATAAACTTAAAAAGTCTTTAGGCTGGAGAGATAGCTCAGTGGCTAAGAACAATGGCTGCTCTTACAAGGGACCTTGGTTCAGTTCCCAGCTCCCACATGAAAGCTCATCACCATCTCTAACTCCAGTTCCAGAGAATCTGATGCCCTCTTCTGGCCTCTGCAGACACTGGGCATGCAAAATACCCATACATATAAAGTAAAAATAAGTAAATCTAAAAATAAGGCTTTGTAAACAGATTTTCAGTTTTTCAGTAAAGTTTTGTTTTGCCCTAAGCAATAGCCGGTACATTAAAAAAAATTCAACCTCAATGTCTACATAATGTTTTGGAAATTTCATGTCAAGACTCAGCTTATAATTCTGGAGATGCATAGTGTAGATGACACGGTCTATGTGGACAGCAGGGAGACATCACTACAAGCCTGGTGATGGTGTTGATTGGACGGTCCAGAAGGGAAGCAAGCCAGTCCCTGAGGCCCAGCTTCCCCGAGGATCAGTTACTGGAGACGGAAGCACCAAAAGGCAGTTGACTGAAGGTTCAGTTCACACTGCGAGCAGAACCTACCTACTTTACCAACTTACAGATTTCACGAAGACTTGTTTTAAGCAGAGTTATTTAATATAGTAAGTGGATATGGGTATGTTTTTCTCCCCTATATGTTAATGGCACATTTTAACATGTTTCATCAAGAAGTATGTTGTCATGAAGATGTTCTTCTCAGCAGTATTTAAGATTGTTTGATTTTAAAAAAAGGACTGGGCTTCTGAGTCCCTTTATAAATGTATTTAATAAACATATTCATTTGTATGTGTATAAATATGTATTATTCTTAGAGATGTAAAAACAATTTCACATTTCCTGTGGTGCTTGTTTATTTTATACTGATTTATTTTCAAATCCTTTTTGGGGATTTAGTTAGTCTAAATTAGAGTTAATATTGCTGTGATAAAACACCATGAGCAAAAGCAACTTGGGGAGGAAAGGGTTGATTTGGCTAACACTTCCACATTGTAGTCCATCACTGAAGGACGTCAGGACAGGAACTCAAACAGGGCAGGAACCTGGAGGCAGGAGCTGATGCAGAGGCCATGGAGGGGTGCTGCTTACTGGCTTCTCATGGCTTGCTGAGTCTGCTTTCTTATAAAACCCAGGATGGCACCACCCGCCATGGGCTGGGTCCTTTCTCATCAATCACTAATAAAGAAAATGCCTTACAGCTGGATCTTATGGAGGCATTTGCTCAATTAAGGTTCCCTCCTTTCAGATAACTCCAGCCTATGTCAAGTTGTCATAAAAGTAGCCAGCATAGGAACGTTGTTCTCCTGATATTTTGGTTTTACTGGAATTTCCATCCCATTTCACATCACAACTGTTATCACCACCACAGATTTGTCAGCCTTCTCAGCTAACCAAAGTTTGCTTCTCTTCTGCATTCAAAAAGCCTAGAGTATTTTCAAAGATTTTTTTGTTTTAAATAAAGTGTATACTGTGTGTGTGTGTGTGTGTGTGTGTGTGTGTGTGTGTGTGTGTGTGTGTGTGAGTGCAGGTGCTAGAGGAGGCCAGAGACACAGAATCCCTGGGAACTTGAATTATATGCAGTTGTGAGCGACCTGACAGACATGCTGGGAATTGAACTTGGGTCCTCTGCAAGAGCAGCAAGTGCTCTCACTGAGCAATCTCTACAGTCCTGGAGGAGAGCTTTCAATAGCTCTTTGTAGATTCAGCGATTTATTTAGATGGCTCTTATTTTGTCCTTGTGGAACTGTTAAATAAATCTTTGCTAACTTATCTTTGTTCTGTTCCCATTTCCACAGCAGGAAGGCCCTGGGTGAGAACAGCAGGAGCCTCTGCAGGGAAGCCTTTTGTTGAAGAGGAGAAATTGACAAGTG